TTGAGAATCTCTTGGTTGTCAAATTCTCCTCGTCAGCACTTCAAGAAATGTCTAGAGAATGGTATGGAGAATATGCGTACTGATGTAATGGAGTAATTCTTAAATGGAAGGTGAGTGCCTGCCTGCTTTATCCAAGGTTCTGCACTGTCCCCCCTTAATAGAATCACACCCATAATGGTGGAAACAAATGGTGCAATTCCTGTGCAGTGTTACTTACTTAGGTTGTGTTAACTAGCTTATTACTTGTAATCTTACTAAATTAATAATTTTTTCAGAATGCTAATGAAGACCTGTATGAAAAGAATGGGTGTTCGTCGTTATTCAGTGCTTTGGTTCATAGCCACACTGATGACTTACAAGTGAAATTGGATTTGCCTGACATTCCAAGTAACTCCAGGTAAACTAACAAATTATTGTGAACACCTGACAAAAGCACAGGGACTAAGTATGGGGAGGTGGGTGGGTGGGGCACAGTGGGGTGAGGTGGGGGCATTCTTACTTCTTCCTACTGCCCTTTGTGTTAGGTCTGTTCTAAAAATAATGACATCCATGGGTGAGAGATTTTGAATTTGTGTTCTACAGGACTCTGTACTCTTTAGCCCTGGAACGGAGAGAGGTTAGTGTATTGCTTAAAAAGCTGCACCATTACCTACATGCTCATATACCATGTTTCTATAGAATTTCAAGCTGATCAAAAACCTGTTACCATACTAATTCAATCAAATCAACCCTATCAGGGTCTGAAATTAACTTCAGGTATTGGATACTTTTTCCAGGTGCTAAAATGTTAAAGTTTGGTGACCAGAGAGTTCAATTTATTAGCAAGCTTCATTTGTATTATGTTTACTTCACAGCAAAGTAGGAAACCTAGAGTTGTTATGAAGTTTCTTCAACAAAAGTTTATTCTGGAAATCAATTTACCTTCCCTTATGTTCCTTGTTTAACCTAAATTTCCTTCATCGGAGGTTGAAATCCTCAGCATGATGTACATAATTATGTAGCATGAGAATCTTCCTTAAAACCAAGCCTGAAATATTTTTGAAAATAAACTTCTTGAGCTTTAGGTTAGAGAATTGGCAAGAGACCAAGTTGGTCACCTGCTGTTGGCTAAGCTCAACATTCTTTTGGCCAACAATATTTTTTTGGTTGCATGGGAAATCAGCTGGTCACAATTCTGGATTCTAAATATCTGTTTACCTGAAAGCCAATGCACCCAAGTGTGAAGGAAAAATAAATACATCTTACAAACTGGGTTTAAGGTCCATACTGTAAATTACAGACCAAGTTTTTTTTCCACTTGGATTTTTAGCCCAAGGTTGAAGCATAATTTTTTACAGGCCGTAAAAACAAGTTTCTGTAACTTACAGTGCAAACCGGAAGTTGAGGTTTTGTAAGATATTAATAATATTGTCTCTCTAGTTTTAGAAAGAGGGGGATGTACAGGTGTACCAACCTAGAAATATCACAATGACAATGATTTTATGTTCTCTATTTAGAGTGCTGATGATGAAGGGTTTGAGTCTTTAGAGACAAGCTCTGAATCTTCTCTTAACTCTGAGCAATCCACCCAAGAGAATACTGATGTCTGGTCTGCAGCATTAGCCTTGCCACCACAAAAGTTTTACACCTGGGAAATGGAAGGAAAGTAAGTTTTTCCTGCTTTCTCACAGAGCTGCCATTAACCCCCTCTGTCCTCAAGAACGACCGACATCTAATTTCGCCCACAGTATCACCCCTAAATCAAAATGATGTTAACAAGGCTGTGCTCTGAGGAAATTGAAGGGAGACCAGTGATCTGAAACTGTGAAATTCAGGGTGCCCAGCACATGTTTTTTATGAAAAAAAACTAAGATTCCTGAGTCGCCCAAGAGCAAAAGTAAGGCACCAGGGGCCACTGGGCACTGTTAGACCACAGCCCTGGTTAAGGTCACAGGAATAATCGAAAAGTTCACCAGTGTAAGAAGCTTGTTATCTTGTTATTGTCAAACAAATTCTCCCAATCATAACNGGATGGCCAGTACTCACAATTCCTTAAACATTGCACTCCTGAGACTGACCAAAGAGCAACTTCTTATGATATCAATTCATAATTAACCTTAAAGGTGATGTAAAGAAAGAAAATGATCGCAGAGGGGATATTAATTAATTTCATGAAAAATTCTCGGAGCTCCAATCATAAGAAATGTAAAAAAAAGAGAAATGAGAATTGCAATTCAGATCTTAAGACAGAAAGGGCTTATTCTACTAAGACCTGGAAAAGTTACATACATACAACAGTGTTTAATGTTCAGACTTCACTTTTTCTTCTCTTTTTATTTTTCAGACGGGAACTTTTGCATGAAAAGCCCTATTTGACAGAAGCTGGTCCTGCTGTGTTTGATGCACTGTATGATACAGTCATTCGTCAAGTCTCGTACATTGTCAAGTCTCCTACTTTAAACCAGGCTAACATGGTCCCTTTACAAGCCCTGATCAAGGATTCCATTAATGTACTTATTGGTGTGCCTTCTAGAACTTTTCATCTTGATAAGGTACAGTATTTGACTTAAATGAAATAGAGGCAAGGCTGTACTCTAAGAAAAAATTGAAGGAAGCCTAGTGCACTGAAACTGTGAAATCCAGGGTGCCCAATAAATTATATGCTTTTTATGAAAAAATAAGATTCCTGAGTCGCCTAAGAGCAAAAGTAAGGTGCCAATGGTTACCGCGTGCTGCTAAACCACAGGCCTGTAAAGGGAATTATTAGCTTTAGTGATTGAGGCATGGTTATTGTGGTTTAATTTCTATTCAAACATGTTTTTCTAATGCTAACTTTTGGTAAATAGCTTTTTAAACTTAGATACAGCTCTGTTAAAATAAAAAAAAAATGCTGTGGCTTGTTTATTTCCTGATTTATAGCCTGTGCAGTCGTTCATCGTCAGTGATCAGGTGCGTCTCTCTGGGACCTCACCAGAGATGCTGCGTAACATCTTGGCACGGCTGGCGGCGATAGGAACAGATTACATCCAGCTCAACAAATTTGCAACACATCACCGTGGCCACTCAGCTGGTTTAGTTTTACAAGCTTTCCTAGGAGCTCTGCAGAGTTATTTACAATGCTACAGAGCAACAGTATTGTCTGTAGAAGGTTTGTATTTTGGGTAGAGAGGTATTTGATGCCCTAGTAATAATTCTGATATAGCATTGTTTGATTGCTACTTATGGAGAGTTTTCTTTCTCTTACCCCATTCTTTTGAGTAGTCTTTATTTCTTCACAGATGTGAAAAAAGTGGTCTATTAACTCTTAAGTCCCAGAAATGATTAACATGTAACTTCTCCTTGTAATCAGGGGTTTTATTGAGGGCTGGGCACCTGCCAAATTGACCGGTTGTAAGGATGGTTTTGCCCACCTGGTTTAACAATCTGGAGTAAGGTTTATCTTACAAGTTTAGTTCAAAAAGTTTAGCCCGCCTATGAAAACCAGTTGCCCTCCTGCTGAAAAAATTTATGAAACCCCTGTGTAATATCCATGCATTACACAGAAGACAGGTAATGAGATTTCTCAAATTTATCAAGAAATGTGCAGCAGCTATAGGGGAGAATTGATAATGAATTCTTGGGAGTTAAGATTCAGACATTTCTTTCTGTTTCTGTCATGGTGTTGCCATATTTTTAGAGGGG